ATTGATGAAGTTATTCAAATTATTTATAAATCTAAAATTTAAATATTTTTTTCTCTCAGATCTTATAATCGACGGAAGTTATTATCCAAAAATGAATTTTAAATTTTGAATGCTTTAAATGCTGAATTGATATGTAAAAAACGTCAAGTATTTTAAAGTTTTAGTTTACGATCTGCATGATTTTAAAAATTATTCATTAAAAAAAAATACATGGCCAAATTATTTTACAAAAACTATTTAATCCATTTTAATGAAATTTTGTGTGGTGATTAAACATATTAAACAGTTTTATTTCTTGGACATTAAAGGTCCTACGTTTGATTTTAATCTGTAAAATAAATTCACAAAAAAAAACTTTTTTTGTTTTTTTTTTAGTATTTTTCAATAATATTAATAATTCTTAAAATTAAAAACTAGCACTAACATGTAAAATTTAATTATAAAACATTTATATTTTATCTAAAACTAATAGTTCTTGAGATATATGCGAAAAAAGAAGGAAAAATACAGAATTTTTTGGATTTTTTTCATATTGTTTATTGTTAATAAAAAGTTAAACCCACATTTTACCATATACCTATAGTGAAATTATCGTTTGTATAGATATTTTGGAAAAATTTGTGCAAAAACTTCGATTATATGCTTCACATCCAACTAAAAACACATATAGCCTGGACTATAATAATTGAATTAAAACTATTTAAGACCACTTTTTGACTGGCAACCTGTTATCAATGTATTCTGCTATTATTAAATATATCTAAAAATGTGAGTTTAATTAACTACGTTATGAGTGATCTTGCCATGCGATTTCGTACTATTATATTTTTGACAGATTTCAGTAAAAAAATAGATAAATTACATGACAAATTACAAATGCTAATAGCTTTTGGACATAGCAAAGCTGAAGAGTGTTAAATTATTAAGGGTAGTTCATACTGTTTGTCAAAGTATTGATTTTAATACAGAGCTATTTAAATTAAAAAAAAACAGTCTATTTTGGAGAATAGATATGTCTTTCTAGCTATTTAAAAATAAAGATTACCTGCTATTAGAATATTTTTGTTAGGGGTGTACCAGAAATTACAGGAGACATTGAAACAAAGAAAAGTCACGATGGTGGAATATTACAAAATAGTTTAGATACTGTAATGTGTAGCTCCACTCCTGTCACATTTTTCAGGACTGGAAAACCAAACAATCGCTTCCCAAGGATGATAAAGGTCATTATGCAAAATGAACATGAAGCCAAACATATTGAGAAAAACAAAAAGAAACTTTTACAAAACGTCTCTTTAAAAAACGTTTCCATTATCGACGATACGACTCCGAATCAAATAAAATGCCTAAACGAACTTCGAGTGAAACTGGAACAGAGAAAATCGAATGGAGAGGAAAATTGAACCATAGAATTTGATAATTATTTCCTTTAAATTTATGATTAACATTGATAATTATTCCCTTTATAAAGTGTGATCGTCGTAATCGACGTGGAGAAGAAACTTGTATCTACTTGTCTTCAGAAATTACTAATAATTTCTCTGTTACATCTCTTGATATTACTGTCCCTAATATGGAACTTCTTGGCTTAAAAATATGTCATAAAACTCTTTTGTTTTTCACCTAGTATGTGTTTATCGGCCTGGTGACTCTAGATTTGCAGGTGATGAGTCCCTTATCGCGTCACTTGATGAACTGTCTAGGCTAGAGAATCTGATTGTTATTGGAGACTTTAATTTTAGAGACATTTCGTGGCCCATTACTGATCCCCCTAGTAATTTAACAACTTCAAAAATGCATTTACAGATTTTTTAATAAATTATAATTTACGATATAAGACAAGGCTGTATACTATCTCCCACCCTCTTTAACGTGTATTCTGAGAATCTATTTAGGGAAGCTTTAAAAGATCAAAAAGGAATTATCATAGGAGGAGAAATAATTAACAATATACGGTACGCCGACGATACTGTGATTCTAGCTTAAAACATCGACGATCTGCAGGAGCTAATCAATAGAGTTGACATGGAATGCACAAATTGGGGACTGTTCATAAATATCGATAAAACTAAATACATGGTGAAGTGACCAGTAAAGTGGATATCGGCGCAACCCAACTAATATTAAACCAACAACCGCTGCAGAGAGTTCAGAGATTCAAATATTTTGGATGTTGGATTACCCAAAATCTAGATCCATCCTTCGAAACTTGATGTAGAATTCAACAGGCAAGAAACTCATTTCGAAAATTCAAGCCTCTATTATCCAATAACTCATTAAATTTGGAAATCCGTGAAAAGTTTACAAGATGTTACGTGTGGTCTGTACTTTTGTATGGATGTGAAACTTGGACTTTAAACGCCGATATCATGAATAAAATCGAGGCGTTTGAGATGTGGTTGTATCAAAGGATACTAAAAATTCCATGGACTAGCAGAACCAGAAACGAAGAAGTTCTTCGAAGAATGGGACATCAACGAACTCTATTAAATATTATTAAGAGGCGTAAACTAGATATGAGATATTAGTTCCTTCGGCTAATTCTCAACGGTCAAATCGAAGGAAAGAAATGGATAGGACGGAAGAAACTCTCTTGGTTGAGGAATTTGCGGCAGTGGACAGGTTTGACAGCGGATCAATTGCTACACGTAGCCGAAAACCGAGATCAGTATAATAATATTATAAGCATGGTAGTCGCCGACGTTCCGTAGGGATATGGCACTCTAAGAAGAAGATAATTTACATGAATTGATAGCAGAGCCGACTAGTTTCAGAATTAATAATTTACCATCTCTTTTGGAATTTGTATTCTCTAATGATCCCCATTTATTAACACATCCCGTAATAAGCTCTCCAGTAGGTAACACATATCATGCAGTCGTAACATTTCATATTTAGTTTAACTTACCCTACTGTACTCCTAATCCTAATGTTAATAAAACAGTTTATGAAATAATTTATTTTGAAAATGCAAATCGCCAACTAGCTGATATTGATTGGAATGATGTTTTCGGCGACAAGGAATCCAGTTGTATTCTGGGTTAAGTTCTAACACGTTGTTAATTTCTGCAAGAACCAAACTATTTTCAAAAAAACCATATACAAAAATAACATTTAAAAAAAACCTTGAATTAATGGGGAATTATTATAGCTGATTAAGTATAAAAGAAAGTTGTGGAAAAAATATAGACGTACAAATCGCATAGAGGATTTGCTAATTCATCGAGACTTTGCCAAAAATTTAAAGAAATCTCTACATGAAGCTCATGTTGTCTACGAAGAGAGTATAGCCATTAGTAATAACTGTAAAAAATTGTACAAATATATTAGATCTTCGTTGACAACAAAAGTTTTTATACCTTTACTGGAAAATGATAATGGGGATATATCTCAAAATAACTATGATGCCGAATAATGCCGAAATCCTCGCCAGTACTTTCTCTAAGATTTTCTCTGTCGAACCCACTTCTCATCAGTTGCCTAATATTACTTCGTCACGAGTTTCATTTGCTCTTGAAAATATAAACATTACTCCTGAAAAAGTTAAACATCATCTTCAAAGCCTAACAAATAATTTGTCTCCTGGTGTCGACTTGATATCTTTTTTATTTTTAAAGAAATGTTCTGATGCTTTAGCTTAACAACTATATGTGATTATGTCCTTATCATTCACCACACATATTTTGCCTCCTATATGGAAAACCGCATCTGTAACACCGATTTTTAAAAAAGAGGACAAATTGGATCCTAATAACTATAGTCCTATCAGCTTAACACCTATAATATTTAAGATAATGGAATTTATTATTGCCGAGACAATTTCTGATTTTCTTCAAAATGAACTGGTTTTACCAGAACAGTAACATGGCTATGTCAATGGACATTCTACAATGACAAATTAATGTTTTCTGGTGTGCCAATGAATGGTCAAGAGCATTAGACAGAATTACATAAATTGGAACACCTTGGTATCCGTGGTCAATTATTGAAATGGATTGACGCGTATTTAACAGATAGAAAGTTTTGTTTTAGAGTTTTGAACTCTTTCTCAATTGAGAGAACGGTTTTAAGTGGGGTACCGCAAGGATCAGTTTTGGGCCCACTTTGATTCATAGCATATTTAAGAGTATTTAAGTAAGTAAGCACATAATGATCTAGGTATTATAATTAATCTAAGTTGGTCGGAACATATTTTGCATATTTTTAAAAAAGCCAACAGTAAATTATATCTACTAAATAAAACGTTTGCGAAAGTGTCATTTATGAGCTCTGTTCATCTTTATAAACTGTACATTCGTCCAATTCTGAAATATTGCGGAACTGTTTGGTGTCCGGTATTAGTGCGTGATCGTAATATTCTTGAAAACGTACAGCGGCAGTGCACTAGGATGTCTTTTGGTCGCTCAAGACCTACGTATACAGAAAGACTGAATAGGACTAATTATTGGACAAATATGGACATTTGAACAACGTCGACTTCGAGGCGATTTAATTATTACGGTTCGGATAGTAAAATACACCTTTCGAAATTTGGGGATATGTTTATACTAGACAATGACAATCGTCTTCGTGGCCACAAACTTAAGTTTAAAAAGGAAACTTTTTTAACAACAACTAGATAATTTTTTCTCTATAATCGAGTGTTCTCAATGTAGAATAGCCTTCCGGCTGAGATCATAGATGCTCCATCTGTCAATATTTTCAAAAATAAACTGGAGGACCATTTGTTCCATAGCTAAACGTTTAATTTGTACTAAACACTTGCTATTACCTATGTTTTTTATGTTCATTTAGTAAGTTAGTGCTTAATATGTAACTATTGTAATATAACGATTTAATTGCACCATATATAACATTGTACTCACATGGGCATATGGGTTTTGCGACCCCTTCTCAAATAGTAAATAATAATAATAGTAATTATAAACCAATTACGAAAATATCTACCCCTCTATTATAATTTGTTTAAGATCAAAAAGTAAAAAAAAAATTAAGCTTACGCGATTCAATCTCTTGTCCAAAGTGCAGTAACATATTAATTGACATCCCCACTCCGACGTGTGACAAATATAATGGTAAGAAGCTCTGAAAATATCAAGTCATGTCTTAAGTTATAATATGTCTTCATTGTATGCGTAGATTAACATAATAAAGTAAATTGGCAATAGTGTCACAAAAATAAACTAAAAATAGAGCGATCAAATAACTTAATTACCTTGTCAAATTGTTGACGATCAAAGCCGGATGTTAAATATGTAAACGTGGCACATATTTCTTGCAGAGGAGATTCCTTTGCACATACCAAACCTATTAATAGGTTTGTAAGTTGACTTTGACTAAGTTCATGCATATTAAAAAGATTAATAAGTGTCTGAAAAAAAAACAGAAGTAATATATAAATAAAATATACAAAGTAGTATATAAACAATAAAAGTTTAGGAATGGTTTTGATTAGATTTAAATCTAGTGTAATGGTCATTTTTTAATAACAGAAGTATAGATCAAAAGGAGAGGTCATTGCAGAAACTCATAAAGAAAGCATCACATTTTTAGCTTTAAGTTGGACCAGATATAGACCATGATGACTATAGTTCATAGCCATGACCATTATTATTAAGAAAATATTTAGGAACTCCAATTTATCAGGGTTTTAAATATATTTGACATTAGACTGATCGTTCCATAATCACTATATTCTTTGGCATTTACTTTCTTTGGTAGACAAATAAATGTTGATGTCGGCAATTCACGTGAAATGATTTCTGTGAAATATATTGTGTTCAGTAGTTGAACTAAAAGATCTATACTTTTTTCATTGACCAGTTTTAGTAATTTACTTGGTATACCGATGTTGGCCGTCAGTACTGCTAAAGTAGAATGGGTAGATACTAGAATAGAAGTGGTTCATCAGCCTTCGACATAGATCTTTTTATCTCAGAACAAATGAGTGCTCTTATATCTACCAGCTTCTCTTTCTTAAACCGTTGGCCAGTATTGGACTTGATTCTATATCAACCCTAAAATCGAGGGTTTTCCCTTACACCATCCGCATCGTACCGAAGTCTTGCTTCTCCGCCGTGGCTGCCGTTGTGGACCCTGGACAAGGGACCCTAAACAGATACTAGTTTCCCGGGTCAGGAAACCCCTGGAATCTGCGCTAGGTAGGGATTGATTGATTTTCTCTGATAAGACTATCTTCAAGAATTTAAAGAGTTCCTACTCGCTACCCGCGGAGTAACTATATTACTGAATTATTACAAGCGGACAGGCCAAACATACAGAACAATGTAAATCAAGAAGGACCTGACATTTTGAAATATAAAGTTTTTCATAAAATAAAATCAACAAAAAAAAACAGAAGCAACTACACAAGAAAACATTCCAGCTACAATCTTATGAATAATACAAGAGGATCACATCAGACGTTTTAATGAGGAATAGCTTAAGCCTGTTTTTATAGCAATTTCGAAAAAGCAGCCTAAAAACGATGCGATAACTATAGCTTAAAGTCCAATAGGCCACACATTAAAAATTTTTCTTCGCAATATGCATGAAGGAATAAAAAGTTATTACGAAAGATACCTAGATGGCACTCAGTTTGGATTTGGAAATGCGCTATTGTGCTTCGGTCGTTTACAAAAATACTTTCAATAGGGTACAGAATGAAATGCTTTTAAATATATAAACAACTATAGGCATTGCTGGTAGAGACCTACTTGTTTTAGAAAACTTGTATTGGAATCAGAAAGCAATCGTATGAGTCGATGGGAAATTAATCGACAAATGTTACGTCCAAAGAGGCATAATAGGATAATACAGGTATGCATTCAATCCCACCTCTCATTTAATATCTACTCCAATATAATTTTCAAACAGACTCTGCAAGATAAAGACTTTGGAGTGAAAATCCGTGATGAGAAAAACTGATCAATAATAATCTTAGATACACTGAAAATACTTGTATCTTATGCGATAAGGATCAAGAGTTATTTGATTGTATAAACACCACAGGAAGAGAAATGTGTCTAAAATAATTGCTTCTAAATTTACGGCATTAGTCTATAATACATTTTGCCGATGACACAGCGATAGTGACAAATGTCTTTTAAATGATCTAACTCTGGCACGTGAAGCTTTGGATTTGATTCTCGATATCAAGGAGACAAAAGCAACGATTATAGGTAAAAATGATTACCCAAATACAAAGATATATGTAGCTGGAGAAGAAATCGAACAAGTTAGGCTATATAAATACTTTCTTTGTCTGCTAAGGCCAGATCATTAACAAAGTTAAAGTTTTTAAAATGTGATGCCTGCGTTAAATGCTTAAAATATCATGGAAGAACATAGTCAGAAATGAGGAAATATTAAGAAAAGTTTAATCCAATGAATTAAGAAATTTTGGAGTACGATAGAAATCTAGTTATGAAATGATTCGTATTGCTACTAATAATAGAATAATTTAATCCTGTCTATCTTAAATCTTACTAGATAAGACAATGTATAATAAAGGCCTACGCATAAATGCAGGGCACATTAAGAAGAAGCCATATTTGAATACAATCCACACAAAAGAAAGCAACTTTTTCATTTTAGAGTTATATAAAATGTCTTGTTTTCCAAGATATTGACAATTTTCTAAAGTGAGTCCGTAGGGCTCAGATAGACTTGTAAGAGTGTATCGACTGGAGAAACGCTTAAGAATATCTTCATTCGATTGAGAATGAGGTATGACATAAGGAGGATAATCTTTTAAGGCTCATGGATAGTTAGAATTTATAGGAGATTAACTGCACATGGTTACCTAATGGACGTAGTAGATAGATACTTTTGCCGTATATGGTTATTCGTGGAGGCGACTCAACATTTGTGCATAATAATGCACGATTTAGCACTTTTCACTCTGCACATTGAAGTACTAAATGCGCGCATATTACATTGTAACACATATTATTAAGGAGTTTCGGTTTGCTAAGAAAATGTTATGATAAAAATTAAACTATGCATAGTCTCACCTGCAATAAAGACATATTGTCAGCCAAAAGTCGCAAAATAGGTGAACTCAAATGCTCCAAGTAAGCTATGGGAGCTAAAGCTGTCATCAATGCTACTTTGTCGTTATATTCTGGTCTTAAAGATGTTAATGCGAAAAATTGACTCGTACCCTGAGAATGTCCTATATAAAAAAGTTTTTCTTGGCCTGTTGTTTTAAGTATATAGTCGATTTTGGCTGCTACATCATATCTTCCAGTAAGCTCAAAACTAAAAAAAAATTCTGAAATCGCCTGCTAAAAATCAGTCAAAAAGTGAAAAACACCAATATTTTAAACACTTACTTTCGACACAAAACATTCAATATTATACATTACTGATAATCTCATAAAATTAAACTCTTCATTTTTTTTAACCTATTCTCTATCCTTCCATTGTTGGATATAGGTCTCCCCCAGTTCTCTCCATCTTTCCCTATCTTGAGCTGTTCTCTGCCATGTGGGACCTCCTTGTTCCCTGATGTCATCTTTCCACCTCATCTGTGGTCTGCCCCTTGATCTCTTTGTATTGTATGGACGCCACTTTCCGATGGCATTGTTCCATTATCCGTCTTGGAAACGCTCATTGTGTCCAGCCCATTTCCATTTCAGTTTTGCTGCTTGTTCTATCGCGTCTACTGTTCTGATCCACTGGTTACGTTTTCTATCTTGAAGTGATATACCCAACATTTGTCTCTTCATCGCTCTTTGTGCCTTCCGTATCCTATCCAAATTGGCCTGTGTAAATGTCCATGTCTGTGCTCCGTAGGTAAGCACCGGTATTATACAGGAGTTATATACCTTGCTTCGTAAGTATAGAGGGATTGTTTGATTTTTTAGAACGTAAGAAAGTTTGCCGAACGCTGCCCATCCCATTCTTACTCGTCTCGATATTTCGGCTGTTTGATTTTCTCTGTTAGCTCTAATTGCTTGTCCTAGATAGATATACCCATTTACCTGTTCTATTTTTTCTGTTTTTATTTTTATTGCCTCTTGGTCTTCCGTATTTGTCATTACTTTTGTTTTGTTGAAGTTAATTTTTAGGCCATTTTGCAGTGATTTTTCATAAAGTTCATTCAGCATTAATTCCAGTTCTTGTGGTTCGTCATAATAGGAGATGGGGTAGATTGGCCGTGAACTAACCACGCTGGCCAGACGGGTTGGTAAGTGTGTTTCAGCCGCCCACTCTGGGAACAGACGCTGTTTGCAGCCGCCCACTCTGGGTCAGACGCTACTGTTGTTGCAGTATCACAGCCGCTTAACTCATAATGTGAGTGACGCCTGTGAGTATCTGGAATTAAGCCTACAGAATTTATACTTCTCATAGCCTTAATTCAGTAATAACATTACTGCTGCCTAATGTCATATCCTTAGTTGATCCGCGGGTACTTATTTGGCAATGCCTTATTCGTACCTGTCCTGCATATCTGCAGGAACTTTCCCTATCAGCCATATGGGACGCGCCGTGTCGAGGTTGAGGACATCCCCCGCCCAGTCTGTCTTCCGTGAAGTACAGAAGAACCCCTACTCAGTTCAGAGCACCTCCTCCACGAAAGCTAAGACCGACACGGTCTAACTCTTCATACTGCCTTTAGAAAGCTCAGCATATGCCTAAATGGCAGATCTCACACAGGTATGGCATTTGTATTAAAACTAATTATCCCCTTAAATTATCTTCTTTTTTTATGAACTCTGTCTATTTTTTTATTTGCCTTTAGTAAGTTGTTCCATCGTTTTTGTCGTCTTCCTTCTGATCTTCTTTTTATTGGCGAACCGTCTCTTGTCGTCTTTAATACTCTAGTTGTTGTCATTCGGCTTATATGATCGTTTAATTCTACTCATTTATTTCTTACCCAGTCCTTGAAGTTCTCCACCTTGCATCTACGTCATATATCTGTCCTTCTGGCTCTGCTCCATAGTGTTTTATCATTAATTTTGTTAAGTATTTCCATCTTTACTGTTTCTAACATCCTTTTTGTGTTCTCTGTGTCAGGTCGTGTTTCTGCTGCATATCTTATTAATCTGATGACTATTTTGTGAATTCTGCCTTTCAATTCTTTCCCAATATTTTTCTTTTCCCATATCGTTTCATTTATGCAACCTGCGACTCTCTTCGCTCTATTCACTTGATCTTCCACTTCTGTTTCTAGTTTTCTGTACCTAGATAATGTGATGCCTACATATTTAAACTCCATTACTTGTTATATTATGTGACCTTTCAGCTCCAATTCACATCTTAGTAAAATTGCTGTTGTTACCGTGAATTTTGTCTTTTTTTGGGGAAATTAACATTTTAAATTATCTGGCGGTTACATTAAATTGGTGCAGTATACGTTGTAAATCATCTTCAATTTAAGTGATTGGTATTGCATAGTCTGCATATCAGATAATTTTAAGTAGGTTTTCTCCCATTTCTTTTTCTAGTTCTTACTTTTTTTTTAAAGTTCATTCATAAATCGCCCTGTCTTATAACATTGCCAACTCCAATAGAATCAGTTAGATCTTCTACATTTACTTTTATTATGAGGTAACTCTATTGCGTACATTAAGTGGATAAATCCATTAATTAGACCTGATTAAATGCGTTCTTCAGGTTTATGAAACATAGATATGCCGGTTTGTTATATTCTAATGATTTCTCTTGAACTTGCCTCGTTATAAATATAGCGTCGGTGCAGGATCTTTCCTACCTAAAAACTCATTGTTCTTCTGCTAATTTTAACCTTTAAATATCGTTATTAAAAATTGTAATATGAAACACATCCACCTAAGCGCTATTCGAAGATCAATCCCGATACCGATGGCCCCGGTGATTTATATACCACAGACGAATTTATTACAATTCAAAGTTGTCATTAGAATGTTTTTTAATAAAACCGGGATATCCTTCCCGACAAAAATATAAACCTTTTGGATTTAATAGATAACCAAATTCTTAGATAAGTAAAAAAATTAAGAATCCACAAATTTTGATAGCTAGATCAAATTGTTAGAAAATAGATGTAAGAAGATTTTATAAATACTGTACTGAAAAACTGTATTGATTATAAAAAAATATATTTAAAATCCATTAAAAGGTAATCTTACTAATATCTATGTTTCAATCTAAAAAATATCCTACCTGAAATCCCAAAATTCAGCATCAATATCTGGATTTAACCGTTTATGATTCCTAGACCAAAGATTGCCTCTAGTGTTACCCAACCACACGTCGTATCCATGATCAGCTAACGCTAGTCCCAAACCGTCATTTGGTCCTTTGATGATCCAGTTAATAGAACTTGATCCAAGCCCATGCATAAGAAGAACAACAGGTCTAGGTTTTTTATCGGAAACACTTTGATTCTGTCCATAAGGAATTCGATGCAAAAGAAGTTTGTAGCCGTCTTCTGTGCTTATCCAATGGTTTTCGTAATGATAATTGTACCTTCTTAAAAAGTCGTACTAAAAAAATGTTTAACGAAGCTATACGAATAATAAAATCGAAATCGATATTTGGAACATGTAAATTCAATATCTGCAGTAAATGACTTCTAGTGATAAATACGTAATGATTGAATTTAAAATTATAGACAATAAAAAATTTAAAAATGAAATAACTAATTTGTAACTATTTGTTTCATTTTGCAGTGTGAATATTTAAAACACAATTGTTTAGTTAGCACAGTTCGTTTTTGTATTGAGTAAATTGTTTACATATCCTTATGCAAGAGTAGTGAATTTCCATTCTCCATATTGCTTTTAAAGACGAATTTTTTATCCAAAACAACTAGAAGCGTGATTAATTACATCCAAATGTTTGACCGGTATATTCTTCTTACATTCTTATTTACTCCATACCGTAACAATCTTTCGTGGGTTTTAGCCGACTTCACAACATACCTCCATTCGTCTCTGTCTTGGGCAAACTCCATCAATTCTCCACGTTCATAGCTTTAAGTTAGAGCAGTTGGAGCTTCATCCCATAATAGCAGCCTTACTATTCTTTTGTCGTTTTCTTAGCTGCCCTGCCCACTAGAGCCTTCTGGACTTTATTTTCTTTTATTATGTTAGCGTCTGTAGTTTTAAGTTATTTGTTAGCTATAATATTATATTGTCCTGCAGCTCCATCAAGCATAGACACAAAGATCTTCCTTAGAATTTTTCTTTCCCAAACATGCATTCGCTCTTTCTTTTGCCTTTGTTACCGTCCACATTTCGCGACCATACATAATTACGGGTCACATGACTATTTTATACAGTTGTATGTCTTGTTTGTTTCGATTTTATTAGTGAAGTTGTAAAGGGCATAAAAGTATCTGTTGTCGACTTGTATCCTCTTGTTAATTTTTAGTGATCCGTTAGTGTCTTCAGATATTGTTATTCTAAAATACTTCAATTCTCTGACGCTCTCAAAGTTAAAGTCATTTATGTTGATGTTCAGTTCAACAGTTTTGTTTTCATTGATTATTTGCCACATCTTCCCTGCTTCCTTTTCGAACCTGACGAAAGTCTTCTTTATCCTTAATCTTTTTCTGGATGCGGCAAATGTTAATATTACGCAATTAACGATGGAATTTCTTGTAACATAAAAAAACAAACCATTTAATTTGTTTAATAATTTACAATATATTTTAAATTAAGGATTTACTTCCGTTTTAGATTGAAAGTAGGTCTTTATTAAAAACTTCTTCTCGTAGCACTACAACCAGGGGTGGGTCTTGGCTGACTTACAACTTGCTTCCATCTTGTACGGTCGTCCATAATAGTTGGGTCAGTGGGTAGCCCCATTGTGCTTAGAGCTGACCATATATTGTCTCTCCATCGCATGCGTCGACGTACTAACGGCCTTCTTCCTGTGGGGGCTTACTCCCATATTACCTTGGCAAGCGGTTATTAGGAAGTCTGTGGATATGGCCAGCCTTTCTTAGCTGTTGTGATTTAATCTATGTCGCTCGCTCTGTACATCTGCTTGACCTCAGCATTTGTCCTCATTCGGTATTGGTTGCTATTAATATCGTGATAAGACCCCAAGATTCTTCTGAGAATTTTCTTCTTAAAATGTCTAAGTTTTCTTTGAGTTTCTTTGGTCAGGTTCCACGTCTCACATCCATACATGAGCACCGGTTTAATCTCTTCCGCGATATCGTTATCTGCAGTGATTATTGCTCCGAGATATTTAAAATTCTCCACTCTTTCAAAGTTATATGGGCCTATTGTAAGATTTTGTCCTATTCTATCTCGTCCTTTTTGTCTGTTAATGCACATGTATTTGGTTTTCTTTTCATTTTCCCTTAAACCAGTTTTCTTTGCCTCTACCTCCAATCTATTAAAGGTCTTCTTTACATTGGTGACTGCGTTTCCCACAATGTCAATGTCATCTGCGTATGCTAATAGTAATTTTGGTCCATTTACTGTTAGTAATTATATTTTAAGTTGTGCTTCTCTTATTACTTTCTGCTAGATGATATTAAAAAGGAAAGGTGACAGCACGTCTCCTTGTTTTAGGACACTGCATGCTTCGAAAGATTATGAGATTTTGATGACCAGAACCAGACTAGTGTCTGGAGGCTCGGGAGACTGAGACAGTAAAAGCCCTGAGGAAGACATCAGAGAGGATGTCGAAACCTCGGCAAAATGGATATCGACGCGGTTCAACCGGAAGACTGGTGAGTTTAATATTAATTTTTGTAATAGTATTAATCTTAGCTCTAGGTTTCAATATATATATATATATATATATATATATATATATATATATATATATATATATATATATATATATATATATCAAAACAACTTCTAACATGGTGAGATTATTTTTTGTCTCTTTGATCTTTATAAAAGAAGGCAAAAAATAATCCCACCACGTTAGAAGTTGTTTTGACAGAAAGTGGGAAACTACTTGAAGTTAGCACAGATGTCATAGGATGTTGCTAGTTCATGAAACTAACTTGTCTGTCAACAAAGAACACAAAGAGAGAGGGCAAATATTTATTTTACGTGACAGAAAGAGAGAGTAAATAATGACAGAGAAAGAAATGAAAACAGGGGAAGATATAGAGAGGGGGCCAACTACTTTTTAAATAAAAAAGATACTAAAATTTAACTGAAGATAAAAAAATTAATAAATTAATAAAGAAATTTAAATGAAATAATTATTTAAATATAAATTAATAGAGATGTGACGTTTATAACGTTACAACATCAAGAATGAAACGATAACATTGTCAAGAATTTTTAGTAGCAAGTAATCAAAATAATAATAATAATAATAATAATAAAGTGTTTGGCGACCCCGTAGCTGAATACACTCCTATATACGTCTAGGCGTTGACAAAATGAGATGATCGATGTCTGCTTGTGGTACCTCGTTCCAAGCAACTTTAACTTCATGTATTAACTGTGCCAGGGTCTGTGGAGGATGGTGCAAAGCGGACAGTCTCCTTTCCAGCATATCTCATACATGTTCGATAGAATTTAAATTCCGAGCATGGCGCGGCCACGGCATAACATTTACGCCAGATTCTTGGAGAAAGTCCATAGTTTGACGAGCAATATGGGGGAGCGCGTTATTTTGCTGAAAAAAGACGCCTCGACGGCCGTCGAGTTGAGGCAGTAAAGTGGTTTGTAAGATGTCATCAACATAATACGCAGTTGTGATATTGCCTCAAGTAAACACAAGTAGTGATCGACTACCATAGACAATAGCCATTCAAACCATTACTACAACAATCATGTGTACAAGCCGCTCGATAGCAAACCCGATATTTCGTCGCTCTTCACGGCCGCGTCTTAACGTCCTATGATCATTATGCATTCCTAAACCGAATCGTGATTTATCACTGAATGCTATATTATGCCATTCTGTCACCCAATGCTGCCGTTCTCTGCACCAATTCAAACGTTGATGACAGTGGTCCGCAGTCAAAGGAAGCACTTATCGTAAACGGAATGAAACTAGTCCAAAAGCTCGAATGCGACGGTATACTGTACGCATACTGACAGGTCTACCTACTACTCCAAACCATTGGTCAGCAAGGTGACGCGTAATAGCAAAACGGCCTCGCAGAGCCAGTAATCTAAAGCGCCTATCTTGCCGGTCTGTAATACGCCTCGGTTGAACAGTGTTGGTCTTCTTCGTATTCCTCTACCTTTGTTTGTCCACACACGACAGACACGCATAGCAGTCATCTACTCCTAATTCTCGCCAATTCTACTTCCATCAAAATCTCTAACATGGCCGTAATTTTGGTGTCTTTTAACTTAAGGCATTTTTTTTACACCAAATACAACTAGACTGAAGAATAATAACTACACATTTCTGTACAAACCGGTTTTTACATATCAGTCTCTTCACAAAAAATTTAAAGGTGAGACTTTATTTTTACAAAAAGTAGAAAAGATAAAACATTGGTATTGTTATCATAGCTTTTCTGAAATATAGTCATTCTGTTGCTAAAAAATTATGTTCAAGAATTGATTCCTTCTGGGTGTATCACTTCTAATGTCACTGACTATATAAATCGGTGAAACCTAGCCCTTACGTAAAAGTAAAAGTAAAACCTTAAAGTAAAATGTTTTTAGCTTATTCCAGAAAATACTACTACAATGAAACTAGTAATTTGAATGCATCTAATACTCACAATAGTCATCCCAATATCCGAATGCACTTTAACATTTTTGAGCATACCTCTCCATTCTTTTGGCAGATATTTATATACGTCGACTGGTTCAGAAAATACAAAGTTTACTAAAATTAGTACTACTGCAATATGTTTGATTAACATTTCGAAAAACACATACAATATTTAGGTATAATGAACGCAGCTTGTTCACAAATGAATGATTTTTTTATCTGTTAGATTTTAAGAATATTTTCAATTATTCATATTATCTGTAATCTTTAAGTTTGACATGTGTATTTGTAGTCATTAGTGATAAGATTATAAAAATCAGTTTATTATATTAAAATTTGATGAATTGATATTTGCAATCATTTTTGGTATCTACCAAGATTAAAAATAAAGTATAATTTTATTTGAATTGAGTGTTATAAACATTCTAAGTTTTATTTTATGTTTCGCTGCTCGATTAACAACCAGAAATATCGATTGAAGCAGAAAATAAAATTGTCGATTTCGTCTTAATTTAGTACTTTTAGGATATTGTGCTGGTATTAGGTAATATGAGGTATGTGATTACGATAAAGAGAATTATGTAGATAAAAATTTATGAAACAAAATACGAACTAACATTGAAGTTTGTTATTTAATTAAAACAGAATGCTGATTTTATATTTCATAAAACATTTTTGTTTATTTTAAATGCATATTCACAATATACTCATAAACAAGCAGATCTTCTACTTCTTAGCCTTCTATCGTCTATTTTTGGACATAGGCCTCTCTCAATTCCTTCCATCAATCTCTACTCTGAGCAACATACTTGCAATTTGTTCCGGCTGCGGCTATTCGTTTTATATCATCTACTTATCTCATCTGTGGTCTTTCTTTTGGTTAGCTACCTTTGTAAGGTATCCAATGATATATTGTGGCGTTCGCACGTTGGTCTTTTTGCCTAGCGAAGACTGCGAAGACGTATGACTTGCGAAGCTCTGTTTGGCAATTTTTGTTGTGATATCGTCAACTTTTGATTTTGATCTTACCCAGTCGTTCCTCTTTTTATCTAATATTCGTACATAACATTGTTCTTTACATTACCATTTCTATTGTGGCTAGTTTATTCATAGAGATTTTAATGGGGTAGTGGTGCATCTCAAATATGCTTTTCCTACTCAAAAGCCATTCTCACCTTCATGTTGGTATATTCTGTTATCATGACGACCGAGTATTAGCGGAATAACTCTAACACTTGGAATGAAGGAAATGTAATTCCATTTAGTAAGTGGTACCGACCCGGCTTAAAGAGGAGTATTGGCCAAACTGAGTAGATCGCTTAACATCGGTTACAACAGACGTTATACATTTTTCTACCACACGAACCAGTCTGGAATCCCACTTCGTAGCAACATTCTGTCTAAAGGATTGTGGAGATGGAGCAAGCCGACATTAAAGAAGAAGGAAAACAACAAACAACTCCATATAGCAACATACAATATACGTTCCATGGCAAAAAATAAAAAACTCTACGAACTCTAGAAAAGGAATTTTGGAACATGAATTGGGATATAATGGAATTATTAGAAGTTCAAAGAAGAGGTGAAGGGTATGTGGACTTATATTCAGATAACAAGCTCTACTACAAAGGCAAGAAAAACTATACATATGGTGGATTAAGTTTCTTAATCAATGACAAAAGAAAATTATGTATTCAAATAATTCATTGCATCTCAGACAAGGTTACATAATATGATCTTAAAACTAAATTCACGAACCAATTAAAGGTTGAGCAGGTTTATGCTTCAACTGAAAAATCTGATGATAAAATAAATACTTGTTTTGGCGACTTTAAAAAAGCCACAAACACCAACAAAGAATCTTAAAAAGAAGATTTTAAAATAGATTGGAAGAAAAATTGAAGACTCCAAAAAACAAGATTGGAAATTTTGGATTCGGCGCAAGAATCGCAATAATCTAAGAAAAGAAAAACTTATGGAATTCCTGCAAGAAGAAAACATGTATGGTATAAATACCTTTTACAAAAAAAATCCCAACAGAACGTGGTCATGTATCGCACCTAACGGTACTACTAAAAATGAAATAAACTATTTTTACTCAAGATACAAAAAACAATTCTAAAACGTAACAACATAACTGGTAGTGACCATCATATTATAGTTAAAGAGAAAAAATATATTAACATAAACGAAGAGAGAAAAAGGATCTTTAAAAAAAAAGCAGGTAGATGCATCCAGAGTAAGAAAGCGGAAGTCCAAAAAATATTAGTGGGTCAGTTTGAATCAGATTCTTCACATAATCAAGACCAAATTGACGATATTAACAAAAACATAAATAAAAACCTTCTCGAATCCGGACTACAGGTCGCAAAGGAAACAAGAACTAAAGAAGACAAAATAAGCAACAAAACAAAATAATTGGAAAATTACTAGCGAAAAATAATCGCCATACTTAAAAATACGTAGCAATTAATAAAACAATCAAAAAATAACTAAAACGCGACGTAACAAAATGGAACGAGAACTTAATACAGCATGTCATTGAAATTAACAGATGCCTAAAATGTCTAAGACTAACACTGGATGTCCAATAATTTATCAAAATTAAAGACACTAATAATAAGGAAGAAAAATAAGGAAAAATATAAAATAACAAAGGTAATTGAAGACTTCTACAAAACCTTATACAGAGAATACAGAGTGAATAATGTAATACTCTTAAAAAAAGAGGGCAAATGTGATCTAAAGAATAATAGACCTATACCCTTGCTCAGTCAAGTATACAAACTATTTATGAGAATTATTAACAATCGATTGACTTATAAAATAAATATTTCCCAACCAGTTAAACAGGCAGGTTTTTGCAAAGGATATAGTACATCAGATCATCTGCTGACAATAAGAGCATTGATAGAAAAGGCAAATTAGTACCAACTACCCGTATTGTTTGCCTTCGTAGTCTATAAAAATGCCTTTGGTTGTATCAAGATATGGGCTATAGAACAAGCTATTAATAATTGTAGAACATGTAGCTTAATCTGGACACCGTCCAGCGACAGTTCTTTATTTTCACCTGTGTAACTAGGTATTCTAGTCCAGACCCCTTCAGTGTTTATTTTTCCAATAAAGGCTAATTTAATTTACTGATCATATGACAAGAGCCCGTTTAATTACGAATTCTGGCCTTATCGGAGTCGAGTGATATGATCTTTTACGGTTGGTACTCCTAGGTTACTATGTCTGGTTGCATTGCGAATGTACCAAGGGGCGTGAGCTATTATGCACAATGTTTTGGATTAGCGAGTTTGTAGAATTGAACATTCAAATTATTTCTACACCCACAGAGTTCTAAGTTTTAAGCCCATATTAGTCAAGTATTATTTTGTAAAGCAGTATTTTGTTCTCCAATGACAGTTGTGATATTTTTCCAAGTAAAATTCATTTGTTTCTATTTTGTATTGAGTTGATCTTTTTGTACTTAAGTGTGTTGCTTTCAGCAGACCTCTTACTTCAAATGCACCTGAAAATATTTTACTACGTCTATAGCAAAAAAAAATAGGACAAAGCATTTTCTTCTTCTTCTTCTAGTGCCGTCTCCGCTAATGAAGGTTAGTTTTAACCATTGCAAATTCGTCTTTATCTTTTGCTTTTCTTAAGAGCGTCTGTATTATTAACCCGGACCAGTCGCCAATGTTTTTCAACCAGGATATTTGACGTCTACCAGGATATCTGACGACGACCACTTTATCCTTCGATTTTATCCTTCATAATCAGCTGCAATAATTCGTACCTATCATTTCTAGTTATGCGCCCCAAATATGCTGTCTTTCACCTTTTGATGATGGTCAAAAGTTCTCTGTCTCTTCCTATTCTGTGCTACAACATTTTGTTCGTAATATAATCGGTCCACGGTATATTTAAAATTCTTCTAAAAAGTCAGATCTCAAAAGCTTCCAGTTTTCTCATTAAGTCAACATTAACAGTCCAGGCTTCGATACCATAAAGAAGAATAGAGTGGATATAACATTTTATCATCCGATATCGGATTTGCAAATTGATTTTTTGGTTACTCAGAAATTTTCTCATCTTCAAAACGGCTCCTCTTGATAGCTTTATTTTTGAACGAATTTCTTATTTCGGATTTAGATCTTCAACAATCTTTAGATTTAGTTATTACATATCCTTGTAATGACTTTGCTCCTCTTACTGATAACCATGGTTTTTGTTTTCTTTATGTTTATTTTTAAACCAAACTGTTCCATAGTATCATAAATTGTGTTTAGTAAAGTATGAAGGTCTGTCTTACTTTCAGCGATAATGACTGTATCGTCAGCATAACGGATGTTATTTATATTTTGACCATTTAACATAATCTCTTCTGTACAGTTTTTAAGTGCTTGTGTAAATATATACTCTTCGGAATATATAATAAATAGTAATGGTGAGAGTACACAGCCCTGTCTCACTCCTCTATTTATCTGGATCGCATTTGTGCTATTTCCATCTAATGTTACCACCAGCTGTTGGTTCCAATAGAGATTGCTCACTATGTTAATGTCATTTTTGTGAAGTCCTTTTCTCTTTAGAAATTCCATGAGAATGTTTTATTTACCTTTTTCGAAAGCATTCTCATAGTACATAAACGCAACGAAAAGATCTTTTTGTTGGTCTCAACATTTTTGGGCAAGAGTTGTAAAACTATACAAAACTTTCACTGTTCCGAAGCCGTTAACAAAGTCAAACTGTCTATTACTCATATCCGCTTCGCACTTTCTGAATATTCTTTCATGTACCTTTAATCTTTAAAACTGTTTTTAATAAGTGTGACATTAAGCTGATTATTCTCTAGTCATTACAGTGTTTGGGGTTCTTGGTTTTTGGTAGCGGAATAAAAGTCGATAGCAGCGATTCTATAGGTATCTTACCAAATTTGTATATGTTGTTAAAGAGTACAGTTATGGCACTTAAATTGTCTTCGTCTAAGTTTAATCAGCTTAATATAGACTTCATCTGGCACAGGGGCTCTGCCAGATTTTGAGTCGTTTATAGCATGTTGGACTTCCTCGTTTAGCTTCATTAGAGCTTCCTCGTTATCAATAGTGTTCATTTCGTTCTTAAGTCCATAAAAAGATCTTTAATATATTTAGTCCATACTTGTTTTATTTCAATTGGGTTATTAATATTTTTATTGTTTTTGTCAATTAATCGGTTGGGTGTATTTGTTTG